TGCAATAAAACGGCAATTTCATACTTTAACCCCTAATATTATGATAACAAAAAAATTGAGTGGCGTGGCCACAGGGCATGACGTAAATGAGCAACTTTACAAAATTATTATGAACTATATACATATAACTATATACATATATAGTGGACTTCGCTAGTAACCAAGACACTGACCACGAACAAACAAAACAAAGCAAAAATTATTTTAAATATGGAAAATCAAGGAAAAACGCACCAAAATAAAACGCAAATGAAAAAAAATATATATTTATCCAGGTTTATTCCTTAACGCTTATATTATATCTAGTTAATATTTTATACATTGTCCAATTGACATGTTGATTGTCTCTCGCCTTTCCTACTGCGTGTACTGTGTGTCGAATACACAAATACATTTTCTCTAACGATTAATCATAAATGTTCTAACTAAAACTTTCTTGAACATAAATGACTCCACGGGAGAACAGAAAAAAGTGTACTTGAAAAAATGTGAGATTACAAAAAAAAATCTATTATTTTGTGGTCCAATTTACCCTCACATAATAAAATGTATCTCTCAATAAATATAAAAAAAAATGGGACTTGTGTACGAACATACATAATTAAATAAGTACTTAAAACACTACCTTCAAAACAAGGTAACAAAGGCAGGCAGGCAAGAGTACTCACATTATGCTGTTTAAAATAACAGGCTAATATAATTTTCAGAACTCATGCAAAATAAGGCAGAGGCATTAAAATCAAAATGGCGGTGAATTTCAAATTCTAACTTACATCTATACAAGGGAAGTCCAAAATGAACAATGATGGATGAATACTGTAAACCAATCTTAATACTATTGTCAATATTATACAAAAATTATGTCCGATTGTCTATTTCGTTGTGTTTGAACACTTTATTCTAACATCTATGTAAAGTTAATAATCAAGCTGCAGCTTATGTAATAAAAAGATCTACTTTTTATTTACATCAATTGCAATATTTGTAACGTTTAACGCAAAATCGTCATGGAAACTATTGACAGATTTTAAAACGATTTGTTCAGCACCTCTGCCGACTATAATAAAATTGCCGAATAGGTATAAAAATATACGATCACTGAGTGAAGTATTGAATATTACTTTTAATCCAAAAAATACTAATGGCCACAGTTACCTCTCGCAATTTCTTATCATTTATTTAACCTTCGATGAATGTACAGAGGTTGAAAACATTAACAAAATAACCTTGCCTTTTAATAAAGATAATCCCTAACAAGGGCATGTAAGCAACAAATCACCCATGCTTATCCACAATAAAAACAATTTCATTGCACCAAACCGCGCAATTCGCATTCAATCAATGATTCCAATGAAGATATTCAAAACATACTGCACAAAAATATGGTCTGGCATGGTAGGGCGAGGGAAGGGTGCTCTAGAAAAAGGACCTCGGTACAAACAATAGCCACAGAAAGTCGGACGGAACTTGCAGTCGTCGATTGCCGTGTTTTCGTGATTCACACGTCGTCGGCACGGCAGCTATATATTAAAATGCAGAGATGCCAACAGCACTTATTTAATAACGGTGGATTATCTAAAGGGGCGCAGCTAGTTTTTATTAGGACCTTACAGAAATACAACTATCTTTATTACCCACTTATATCTGTCAGTGTAATGTGGGTATGTCTTTAAAAGCAAAATAAATTTTCAAACTCATTACTGTACCTATACTGAAAACATGAATGGATTATTTGTAAAAGGTACCTACATGGGAGTAAACCCTGCTAACTGCGCGGGTAGGTCGTACCAAGGCGGCTGGTCCCCGTTATTCGTTCAGTTCGCTCACGTCAATAGGAATAGACGTCGTGAATGTTGGCGTCTCCAACTCTTCGTGTTTCTTCATTTTCAACGCCTGGATGATAAAACCAAAAATTATTTTATTATCATAAATATGTTATTATTTTCAAATTGTAAAACTGATTTATGTACTTAAATCTGCAACAAATAACTGTTGCTATTGCTAATTGAACTATTATTATAAACTACGATGCTTTTCAGTTTACAAAAATGGTTTATTAAATTCTTTACCAAAATTATTCAATGAAAATGTACTTTTTTATAGTTGTACTTTTATTTTCAATTATAGACAAAATTATGTTTTCTGTAGTCGACTTTATTCAGCGGTGATGTCATTATTCTAAGTAGACAAAAAATATTTTAGTATATTAGTGTTTATGTTTATGTACAAACAAATATGAACACACACAGTAACCAAAGTTAATTTATTTTACCATATTTGTAAGACAATAACTTTTGTTTACATAAAAATCTTGAGAAACTGACGCAACAGTCAACTGTTGACTCAAAATGTATAATCATCGTAATCGAATTAATTTTTAATTCCTAAAAAGGACACCACTGTTTTCAACACCTTTCTTGGTTAAAAATGATTAAAGTAATTAATTATTATTGTCAATCAAATCTAAAAACAACACCACAGTAAAATTGGAAACTGAATGAGAAGAAAATTCTACACCAGGTTGAAAGAGATAAGATTAGACATTTGATGATAACCCTTTACCAAATGTAGTGCGAAAATGATGTGGCTGTGCAGAAGAAAAGTATGATTGAATTAGTACAAAAATTCTAGATAGCGATATTTCTAAAGTTTGTAACTGTGACCGTGTTTACTACATACATCATAATTATAAAACTATGCCTACTAATGCGATTGCGATAAGACCGGCCAGTTACTAGTTAGTGGTAGATTCGTCGAATCACTGTATTTCTGTACACCTCGTTTAAAAATTTCTTGACAGTCCTTTCAGCTTTAGTACCTATTTGATTTATAAATATGACTACATTGAGAATATTTTGTGTTTGGGGAGGTGGCCAGAGGTCAGACAGAGGTCATTTTATGTGCCCCTACTCCCACTGCCAAATGTAGTTGCTATCATGCTTTAAGAAGAAACAAACTCAAAGAAAAATAAATAAATGAGAAAATAATGGTGTGTTAGCACTTGCCGCGTATAAAATACATACAGGTCGTAACAAAAAGGACCGGCTACAATTGAGAACTCGCTAACACTAACAACTTTACGGATGGATGCTACAGACAATATCTAGATAGACGCCGCAAGTGTACGTATTTCGCGTGCCCAATGTAAGTGAAATACACTTAGTTGCCGCTGCTACACTTCAGGACGCGCTCGACCGTTATTGTATATAAATGCCAGTTGAAAACGCGAAAAATGCATATATAATTGTGCAATTATAAACTGCAAAAGCACCATAATTGTGGGTTAACGCGTAAACGAAGACGTTTCCTTCCACGGGCAAGTGATTTTGTAATCAGAAGATACATAATTTATTTTAAAAACAATTATTTTGATTTTGTATAAATTTCGAGAAAACAAATACGCAACAAGAGTGTATGCCTCATTTTGTAATAGACTCGAGGCTTTTACTTGGTGCGATATATTTGTGATCCTTTGTTAATACGCCATGAATATCGAACGAACGCACTTTTGTATAATGCATTCAGTTTCGTGGTAAGGTCGCGTGTACATTTTTTGGCCAAATTTAACATTTAGTGATGTATACGCTAGGCAACACTGTTCTCGATTCTGATCGATTTTGAAAACAAAGTGACGAAAATGATTATGACCTTAGCAATATTATAAAAATATTCTATAACTTTTTCGTTATAACGTTTAGTACCGTTTCATTTTTTTTTTTCAGTTTTATAGTATCTATTATCAGTAGTATCTGTAATTTCGATAATTTTTGAAGCACGTTGCCCCGAATGTCCGAATATAGTGAGCAAATAATTACATACATCGCCGGATATGTGGTGCGAGTAATACAAAAAAATATAAAATGGGAAGAATGTAACAGTGGGCTGTCTTTACAAAAACCTGGAGTTGGTCATAAGTATGAGTTCGTTGCTTTCAAGGACAAAGGAAGAGGGTGGTCTAGTTTATCCCACCTAAGATGCTATCGAAATAAGCAGAGTTAGAAATCCGAGAAATAATAAAGAAATGACAAAAGTTTCACACGAGGCTGTCATTAAGTAAACCTCTTCTGATTAATAAGATTTTACCATATTTTGTCAGCAGTAACATTTTCAGTTGTCTTGCCATTCATCAATTTGATCAATTACCAACAGAAAACATCTAGTAAAATTAATTAAGGTAGTCGCAAGTTCATATATTGACGTGCGTTTTCATTATTTAAGTTAATCCATAAGATCTATTACAAAAAGATGTTGTATAATAAGCTCATTTTATTGGAAGGTCAATAATTTAAATATTTTAAGCCGATTAAAAATTAAAGTCGTAATTTTTTGAAGTAATCAACATTTTTTAAAAACAAGTAAAATAAAGGACTTAACTATCTTATTCCAGTATTATATTTATATTACGACTACTTGCAATCAAAATACTTGAACAAAAATCATTATATTTAGAATCGATTAATTGAATGGAATACGCGTATTCCGTTCAATCAATCGATTTAGAGTGGAGGGAGGTTTCCCATCACTAAATAGTTCTTGTGACGTGATAGGGGGTACAAAAAATGTGGCACGCTTGGTTTTCATACACCTTGCTGTAGGGGTGTCCACTTAGAAAATACATCGATATCTTCATTCGATGTAAAACATAGAAACCTTGCATCGATGTTCTTCGATGCCTCGCTTAAAAACATCGATGTTTTTCGATGCATCGCTTAAAAACATTGATGTTTTTTCAACATCGAATACCTTTTTGTTTTTCTTAGCTTAACAGGGAACGCATAGTAACACTATACCAAAAGAGAAGTGCTGTCACTGTAGTGACTTGTTTAATTGTATTTTTATTTTTTTTTTTTTTGATACTGTGTGTGTTAGTTTAGTACTACTGGTCAAGAGAAGCCAGGAACTTAAAAGAAAATAGTCGATGCTATTAACATCGGCAAGACATACATTTACTGGTGGAAAAAAAAACTGCAAATTAATAGAAATGTTTTTACGCAAGAATAATTCCTTGTAGGAATGTTTTTTTTACGATTAGGTAAACTGCCTAAAATACCCAAAGACTTTCGATACATACTCAATTATTCATTCACAGAAGAATGAAATACGCTAGGATAAATACAAATAAAACAAACACTAAATGACTTACAATATCAAATTGAAACACAGACGCACGTCAGAGTTTTTGTATGATTCGATGTTTTTATTAAAAAATATCGATGAATCGAATAGAATTTCTTTTTCTTAAAACATCGAATCAACGCGATATGTCGTACGTTAAACATCGAATGGATTGGATACATCGATGTTCAACGTATATCCCTAAATTGCTGTACTTGCAGCGTCTATCTAGATATATGTCTGTGGTGGATGCAAATGTTATATTAGTATAATTAATACCTGAAAACACGAAAGGTCCTTTTTGGTTCACTCTATATACTATGAACTAGATTATAGCCGAGATCTGTGATTCTATGAGTTGAAAGTTACCACAGCTGTTAATGTTTGTCCGATTACAATTTTACATAAATGTGATATGAAAGTGAGTTATAGTGAAGTGAAAGGACACCACGGCACCCACGTACCGATTCGGTAGGCTCCTTCTGTCTCGTCAGGGTAGGTGACAGAGCCAAACCCTTTGCTGATTGCTGTATGGATAGACATAATGTATACTACTTGTAAATAATAATATAATAGGTACCCATATTAAAACCTTCAGGAAATAAATAGGCAAGATCCAAGTATAATACATATAGATAGATCCCTATAAGTTCAGTCACACTATCATAAATAACAGTTTTGTGAACAGAATTCTTCAGAGCTATGAGAGTTGGGCATACGTACAGTATAACATTTACAACAGTGACATATTTCTTATAAACTTTACTCAAATATATACATATACGATAACTAAACCATCAGCTGACCCTCAGATCTTTTTCTTAAATTTTTTCTCACTCGTACATACACTACCTACTAGAGTTTTCTAAAGTATTTACAAGTGAGTGAGTTCAAGTTTCGGAGCCATTCGAGTGTTACGGATCTTGACGATTGCATCTAAAATTTTATGAAAACCAACCCAATATCACTTCATTTAAATCAATACATTGACGGACAAAACCACATAAGTCAAATTTATTATTTCGACTTAAATTTTAGTGGTGTACTTTTGAACCTTATCAGTCTCTTCACTTTGTTTAATAAAAAAATTAAGCATTTTGTGACTTATGTGCTAAGTCTGCCGATCCTAGATTTGACATAATGTAATAATAAATCTGCCGAAAAAATATATAAATAATATTTCTGGCACCAAGCAGTATTACTGTGTTCCGGTTTTAAAGTAAAAAGTAAAAAACTAGTGAAATTACAAGCACGCGGGACTCGTCAACTTATGTCTCATGGTGACGGGCGCAGTGGCAGTGCCCCTCAGATCTTTGTGATTTAAAGCTCTAAGTGGCACTGCACTGTTATGGACAGGCTTACCATCAGGTGCACGACTTGTTCGTCCCATCACTTGATATTATTAAAAAAAAAACTCGCGTTACTGTAATAAAACTTAACAGTTAAAACAGAAAGTTAATATTTCCGGTGTCATTTTATTGGAATTCTTTACTGCCGCCCTTATCATAGACAACGTAATCGACATTTTTCGTGAAACTGAGTTATTAACATATCTGGAATCAGCGAAATGAGGTCTGCAACCCCCTAGGTGTAGTTATTTTTAACTGACTAAAAAAAGGAGGTTTTCAATTCGACTATACGTTTTTTGTATGTATGTATGTTACGCAATAACTTCGGCTGTTTGTGAACCGATTTTGATGATTCTTTTTTTGTTGGAAAGGGGTACCTCAGATGTGGTCCCATTTCAATTTGAAGAAAATATTCCACCATTAAGGATGGCAAACTAGGGGATAAATGATTTTTGTTAAAATTTGAATTAGTATCAGTTTTATTGTTAATTCAAATCAGCGGAATAGTCATTTTTCAAAAAAAAAACTTTAGGTGCCTTTATCTCGAAAATTACCAAAATGCAAATGCGTTGTTTATAACGAGGAGGGCAGTGTAAGATATCGATTTTTTTTCAATATTAATTATAATCGCCTATTTCCGTAAGATTCGATGACTCCGAAGTTGGACTTCAAAATATAATACTGTACCCACCATTTCACGTAGGGTCCTACCTATATAAAACTAAAGATTAAAACGTCATACCTGCTGCAGCTTGTAATGGTTGATAATATCTTGGTCGGCGGGACAGCTTTGCGTGAACGCGTCCAGCTGGTACATGTGGTACATGTAGCGCCAGAGCGCGCGGAAGGTCGTCTGTAATTACAGCATAATGTGTGATTATTTTCACATGGTCTTTTATTAAAGTAAATGTAAAGGATTATTTCTCATATTAGCGCGACTACACATTTTTAAGCCATTACTGTTCAGTCCTGCCAATTCAAATATTCATATTTGAATGTTTTTTTTTTATTAAAAAAATAAGCGCGCATTTGACCTTAATCTCTCCTGATGAAAATTAAGATGAGTTCGACGACGGAGCAAGCATAGCTAAATAATGCCTATTCATTTTCGCCTTAAAAAAGCCCAGTTGTACCGTTCAGAGAACAAATCTGCAGCCAGGGAATTCCACTCCATAGTAATTTGAATGCCTAGAATATCTACAACATAGGGGTGGAAGCCCAGCCTGCGTCTGGGCCCCGATGATGGAGTTATATACCCCGATATACTTACCGGTATTTCAAAATCGACGAAGTATTTGCCGGCGACGCGAATGTGCTGCAGCCGCGGCATCAACTCGCAGTCGAAACAGCACATCGTGTCGCCCGTTAGGAATCTAAAAAAAAAGTAACATAACCCTAAATCAATTCAAAAATCAAACGGTGCAGAGTCAATAGGAATTAAGAGTGTTGTTATTAGTGTAGCTTTCAACTCATGGATAATAATTTAGTTAACAGAAACCACCAATTCATTTTCTTGTACTGAGATGCACAGTTAGACAAATCTCGCTTAGACCCATTAACGGGTGAAGAATGATTTTTGGCATAATTCACTCTGATGTTTGCTTATACCTACAATTCACGCCCTTTCCACATCGGGATAAGCAAAGGCCATAGCCTAATGTGTACGTCACAGACATATCTAGATATAGATGTACGTACTTTGGGTGCCCAAAGTAAGTGAAATTCACTTACTTGCCGCTGCTATACTTCAGAACACACGCGACCGTTATCGTAGATAAACACCAGTCGAAAACGCGAAAAATGCATAATAATGCCATTATAAAATGCAAAAGCACCATAACTGTGGGTAAACGGGTAAACAGGAACGTTTCCTTTCACGGGCAAGTGATTTTGTAATCAGAAGATATTTTAAAAACAATTATTTTGCTTTTGTACGAATTTCGAGAAAACAAATATGCAACGGAGTGTATGCCTCACGATTTGTAATACATTGCGGCTTTTACTTGGTGCGATATATTTGTGATCCTTTGTTAATACGCCATGAATATCGAACGAACGCACTTTTATATAATGCATTCAGTTTCGTGGTACAGCCGCTTGTACATTTCTTTTTTCAAATTTAACATTTAGTGATGCATTCGTTAGGCAACACTGTTCTCGATTATGATCGATTTTGAAAACAAAGGAACGAAAAGTTATTATGACCTTAGAAATATTATAAAAATATTCTATAACTCTTTTGTTATAACGTTTAGTAACGCTTCGTTTTTTTTTTACAGTTTTGTAGTATCTATTTCTCAGTAGTAGCTGTAATTTCGATAATTTTTGCAGCACGCTGCCTCGACTGCCATTCAAATAATCTATTGAGAATCGATTAATTGAATGGAATACGCGTGTTAATGCGTATTGGTTTTCATACAAATTGCTGTACTTGCGGCGTCTGTCTAGATATATGTCTGTGGTATATGTCATAGAAAAATATTATGTATATGGCATCGTTTATCGTACCTGGTGTTGCGGCGCTCAAGCAACGCGTCAATACGTCCGAGATGCGCGCGCAGTGCCGCCGACTTCTGCTCATCTTTGCGCACCAGCACAAGTTTCAGTTTCGAGTACAGGTTCTCGATCAGCGACGCCACCTCCTTGTCCTGCAAATCACATACAATAAAACGGTATCGTTAAATTTTATTAAAACGGTTTAAATGAGTACTGGTTTATCGGTTTTATTTTGTGTGAAAGTAACTGGTAATAGCTTTGAAGAAAAGTTTCATCTCAATAATTGAGAAATTATTACCAAATGAAAGTTTACAACTTGTTATTAACCAACAAGTTATTGCAGATCTCGACTCCTGGGAAAAACTTTAAATTAGGACGAGTACATATCATATATTTTATATCATATATTTTTTGTTACGCAATCAAGAATCACCTGTACGAAGAGATTGTGTCCACCGGGCACTGATTTCATGATGTGCCGTTCGATCTTCTCGTTCTCGAGTATGGCCAACCCGTTGTCGATCAGGATGGGCGGGTGTGTCGCCTCGAAGTTAGTGCGGAAGTCTGGTGGTGGTTTCTGCATGTCCACTGTGGTCACCTGGAATTGAAAGTATTTTTTTAGTGATGACGTACAAATCGGCAAACACACGGTTTATTCATACGTTTGTTTTGCCACCGCTCGTCACCTTCAGGGATACTTAAGAAGTATTTTTAACATCGCAAACGAGTTATCGGGCCGTGAGACACAAGATCTTGAAGTAAAACACAACGTAGCTACTCCTTAATAGTAGGTAATACAGAATATTATACCCAATTATTTTTCTTTTACGTAAAGAGAGATTTAATTAAAGAGGCTTACCTTTAAACTGATAGTCTTCAGCTCAGCTAACAGGTACAGGTCCATGAAGTATTCTTGGCAGAAGAGGCATGCGCCCTTCCGTCGCCCGTCGATCGTCGATGCCTGAAACAACATCAATGTACACTGTTAGCAACATGACTTTATAAATTTGTTTTATGTCTTACCAGAGATACTGGGTACTAAACTAAATTAAACCGTTGGAAACAATTATGAAGAAAATCATTATTTTTGTCATATGCAATTTTCCATAGCAAGTTTTTGAGGTGCTAGCGCATACTGAACGTCCATATTATATTATGAGTGAGTGGTGCACGAACAGAACCTCCCCACACGACATACCATTTCTTTCCTGTACGTATGGCGCACCCTAATCCACATTCGCTAATCGGCACGAGTATCTTCAATCAATTTCATTATCACATCAGACCAATTTTTATTAATTTGTATGCACCAAGAAATTTACTATGCCAAAATTATTTTCACAAAAAAGATTTATTGGTTCCAAAGACAGTATCCTTGTATATGCTATGGTTTCGGATTTCCCCATACTGTTCCATTAAAAATGAACACTCTGTATACGTATAAATAATATAGGTTATAATATATACGAGTATAATATTAAAGTTATCCAAACATGGTTGTTAGTAGCGGCAAGACCTAGTATACGTATAACGTATTTATTAGTAGAAGAGCTCCTTGTGAACGAGTTCGTGCAGGGAAGTAGTCACCTTATCTATTTCTGCTGCCAAGCAGTAATGTGAGCTTTACATTTGAGGAGTACGGATGCTGGTGAAATTATAGGCACAAGGGACTTGTCAACTTATGTCTCAGGATGTCAGGCGCAGTGGCAGTGCCCCCTCAGATTTTTGTGATTTAAAGCTCTGAGAGATATTGCTCTGGACAGGTTGGACATTGTGTCGCTTACCATCAGGCGCACGACTTGTTCGTCCCGTCACTTCGTTATTATAAAAACAGATATATCAAATACAATGTCTCGTGGTGTCCTTCTGAACGAGAGTTATGCAAACACAGTAAGCAGCATCAACAATGCCTTATAAATATTCAACTGGTTTCTTTCAACGCGGGTTTTCCACTCAGAAATTGCCAATTTGCTTTTAATGTGAAATACGTAGTTTGTATTGACGTTTCATCATTATAATAATATCGAAAACAATGTTATGTTATTAACAGTGACAGGATAAGTTATGTCTCTCGTCTTTAAGTTTCAGTACTTATATTTAAGTAATTTCAGCTTATATTTTTAAAATTTCAAAATGATTTTGTTTAATTTGTGTAAGAGCGTAAAAAAATAATGAAAAATGTAAATGAAATAAGATTATACTTTTTCAGCGCAACCAATACCTAAAAGTCCCTTTTGCATGACGCATTATATAAAACATTAGATGAAAAAGAAGGTTTTGTGTAATCATAACGACGGAATAGAAATTAGACGACGGCGAATGCTCAAGCAGGCCCTAGATGGACAACAATTCATGTCAACATCGTCATAATAGCGTCGTGCTGTTTTATGAATAGCTGAGGTATAGTAAATGCTAATTACGATTTCTTTGTTTTCTTTTTGTTTTAATTGCCGTTAAATATGCCTTAGGAGTTCTTAAACGTATCTACAAGGGCGAAGGTTGCAACAGAATCCAATTTAATGGTGAAAGAGACTCAGCCTTTTAAGGCCTTTTAAAAAACCTCGACTAATTTTCAACGCCTCACAACTAGTCTAGTCTTTTAACTCTAGGAAGCTTAAAAGACTTATAGGACTAAAACGACTTTTAGTCGATTGGCGCCTCATAGTCTCGGGAGTCGCGAGTTATGAGTCGTATGGCGTGATTTTATTTCTACCCACAAAGTTATTTGTTCTACGATTTTTATTATAAGTAAATAAACGTGATTATTTACTACATACTATTTACGTCATTTTTATTTATAAACTTCGGGTTTAATAAGACATAAAATATGTATAAGTCCTTTGCAAACAACTCGGGTCGTTTAAGTCTTTCAAGTCGTTTAAGTATTTTGAGTCTTTCATTACAACGACTGAGTCTTATTAATAAAAATTCGAACCCTCAGTCTTAATTTTAGAGTCGAGTCCTGTAAAATGGAGTCGAGTCGTTATAAAACGCCTTACAAGACTGAGTCTCTTTCATCACTAATCCAATTCCATAACTCAAACCTAAGGCCTTGTAAAAGAGTCTCTGTAATGGTCATCTTGCTAAAAGATATTTCACAAATTCTTCGTGGTCGTATGAGAGTACATTCTCACCCACTACGATTGAGGACTTCGGTGGCCCAACGGTTTGCACTGTGGGCACTTGACGAGAAGGCAGGAATTTGAAAAATAACTTTTTTTAATGATACCACACTTAGTAAAATATTTTTTACGGGACTAACAAGTCGTGGCGTCTGGTGTTAAAGCGACACTCCTGTCCATAGCAGTGGCAGTGCCACTCAGACTTTCTCTCTGTAAATAATTAGTGTATACTTTACCTAGTCCTTAAGTATCATCTTACCTTACATCTTACAAATGAATCTTACATTATAACCATCGTTTGTATAAATATCCTTTGTCGATCGACCTTACAACTAAGTAACTCACGTTTATGACTCATCGGATTGATACAAAGGCATTATAGCGCTTTCTCTATCCAAAGCAATTTACTTTATGACTACGAGCTGCAGAGTGCAGCAATCTATTTTTATAAGGGAAATAAAACAATAATTACTAATATCGTAGCTATAAAATAGAAACTTTCGGTCAACTCTTTTACTTAAAAAAAAAAACTGTATACCTAAACGGAAAAGAAGCTTTTATAGTAGCAGTAAAGCTCCTTGTGCAAGAGTTCATCTTAGGAAGTACTGCCACCTTACTATTTCCGCTGCAAAGCAGTAATGCGAGCATTACTACGTTCCGGTTTTGGAGGGTAAGGGTGGTGGTGAACTTACAGGCACATGAGATTTGTCAACTTATGTCCCAGAGTAGCGGGCGCAATGGCAGTGCTGTTCAAATCTTTGCAATTTAAAGTTCTGAGTAGCACTGCGACTGCTATGGACAGGCGTGTAGCATAATACCAGGCGCACGACTTGTTAGTTCCGTCACTTGGTATTATCAAAAAGGAGGTGTTAGAAAAACCAAAGGGATTGTTATTTTGATACTTACTCTTCGCTTAGTAAAAGTAACGAATTTTTATTGGTCTAAGCTGGATTGCCTTTCCCCTAGGTGTGTCGGACCTTAGGTTCCATTTATATTGCGGCGGAACGGAATGGAAGCGAATTTTTGTAGAAATTCGTATTCTAACAAAAAACTTGTTTTCTGTACGTCTTCCAAGTATTAGTTACTTTACAGCAATGTATCAGATACATAATATCTCCATTGTATTGAACAAAGATTAATAGAACATAAATCGGTGCAGAGCTTTCTTCTAAATGCACGTAATGATATGACAATAACAATAATACTTCATCCATGACGTTAGGATTAATGTTCGCCGTGTATTGTACAATACAAGTGGAGTTTTGTTATAGGTTGACATGTACACAGAGGGAGTGAAGTTTTGTGCAACGAATGACTCATTGAAACAGATCGGGGTCAAAGGGCTCGCTTTCTACGCCTTTTTGGTTCACAATACCCGTAGTTATCGTGTCGCGAGAAAGCATTATCCGTGACATACTAGGGTTGCCAAAAGGTTGGGAAAGTTCCGGAATTGTACGTGTGGTTCAGTAAATGAAATTCCTGAATACTATTAGCTTTTTAAACTTGCGACATCTTGGCGGCCAAGACCAAGCTAAGAAAGCAGGCTAGGTTACTAATGTTTGGCATGTTAGGTTAAGTAATATAGTTTTACCTAAAATACGTTTTTTTATAACAATTTGCATTTTTCTTTTCCCTACACATACGCCCAAACAGTTGGAGTTGGACACCAAATCCGTTCCTATGAAATGCCCAGGAAAGGATAATCATTTACCTCGTAACCCTTAATACATAGGATTTCATAAACAACTGATCGGGACACGCTACCTACCTAGGATTTTTATTTAACTACACTCCTATACCGATAAAAATGTTATAAAGCTAAGGATAACAATGAAATTTGTTATTATTTCCATAGTAGCTAATTTATTACAACAAATTAAATTTCATGGTTTTAAGGCTGGTTGCTTCCAAGTGTATTCATACTCAGGGAGCTTATTAGGTTCTTTTAGTACTCGTTGCGACTTCTGTGTATTTATTATACTTAACTATTAGACGCTTTTAATTCTTAATTTCAATAGTCAATGACTAAATGTCAATGTTATTTGAAAAGTTTATACAAAAGGTCACCCACCGTGAAATATTAATTCTACTACGCAATAACATTTACAAACTAAAATTTTGTTTTTTAAGAGACTGTGAGTGAAGGTGCATTTATGAGTAATTTACAGGTTAGTTTTCTCTACATAATTTCGGTGGCAATTTTTATTATTTCAATATTTTAGAATATTATCACGAAGTATTATTTAATATTCCGGTGTAGTAACCTGAAACAGTATTTAATACTTGACGATAATATACTGGAATACATAAATAATAAAAATTGCCACCATAACTAGGTAGAGAAAACTAACCTGAAAATTACCCATAAAGAAATATGAAAATTATCTAATCATACAAGCATCTGATATAAGTAATGTTGTCCTCTTTATATACAAATTAGCTATTTCAAATAAAATCACTTATGATACCAGAAATAGTTCACAATAAATTGAAATATGGTTTGTGATCCAATCCCGTTAAGAAAATATGATTCATATCGTTTAAGAAATTTGTTTCATTAAGTTTTGACAGCATAATTTTTTCTTAGATTTAAAATTGTAAGAGAATTACTGAAAAAGCCCTAATTATAACACTGATCTATGTTCCAGATGAATAAGATAAACATTTAAAACAACAGATAAACACAGCACAGATCTACATAATTATATTTAAACGACTGTGAATGTAAAAAAGTTAAAATTTTGTGATTTTCATAGTGACAAAGTAATGACAATGTGAATGAATGTATTAAGTGCGTACATTAGTAGCACGCTGCACCGACGCATTGGGGTGACCATCT